TCATAAAACCCATGATTTCAGTCAGCTTCAGTTCAAATTTGGCTGATTCCCATGTTCTGCTGCTTCGTTGACCCATGGTGACCTTCTCGCGTCCGAAAGGTCCGCGCTGCGCCGCTGCGCTGTTCAGTCGACGCGTCGTAACAGCTTGTCGCCTAGGCCATGGAGATCTGAGAAAAAAATGGGGAAGCAACAAATGGATATAGCCCATTTGTAAGAATTGATAAGTGTTAGATCCATTTGCACTTTTACGATAGGTGTTTATTTCTGAACTGACGAACTGCCGTAAATTGCACGGTTTTTTGTTGGGACCTATCGGTGGAGGATTCAGTTTTTCAGAATGAAACCACCAACAATAGTTGCTACGGTATAATTATAAGCACAAGTTGGGATGTTGGGATATCGATATGACCCCATCATATCCCATACTTAACTATGGTGAAAATGGTGAAATATACCCTCTGGTAAACTGTCACATAACTATGGAAAATCACCATTTTTAAAGGGAAAATCCACTATTTCTATGGCCATTTTCAATAGCTATGTTAGTTTACCAGAGGGTAACCCAAAACAAGGGCATCCATCCTTGCGATACGGGATTTGCCGTATTGTCTAGTCGTCATTTTTCAAATCAAACTTCAGGATCTTCAACCCTTTTTGGGGCTCCATTACTAGAAGTGTTTAAAAATCATCCCATGACTAGGTGTAGACCCAACTTTATAAACCTCAAACTCCGGGTTTCAAAAGGGACCCCCCCGCGACTTGAGGGTCGCCATGAGACATTATTAAGCACGGGAAAGGTATGGATTTTCAGTGTTTTTCCATATGTATATAATATAATATAATATATAATATAATATAATATAATATATAATATAATATAATATAATATAATAAGAAAATAATATAATATAATATAATATAACATTTATTTATTTATTTAATGATTAAACTAGAAACAAACCATTAATTACATGGTCCATGAGTGAAATTACATGGTCTTTTTACGATTTAAGAAAAAAGCACACATTTTTTTCACAAAGTTCCAATAGATTCACCTCTGCCCCAGTTCCAAGCCTACGCTCTGCGCTGTGGGGAGCTCACCCAGATCTCAGTGACGAGGACGGCTGGTCATCGGGACGGTGTCAAACGTTGGAAAGATGGGAAATCCTCGATTTATGGAGCAAAATGGAGGAAAAATATGGGAAAATAGGGGGAACATCATCTACAAATGAAGGACTTCCGATTGCTGTGGTTGATTACCGGAGGGTGTGAATCATGTTGAGCCAGACACCCAAACAACCGGCCACTAATCAGCAGAACTGTTTGAATCAAACTAGTGGAGTCAACCCCAAGTTATTTTATCCACGAAAATCAAAGCCACCCAATTGAACCAAGAAAAGCTGTTTCAAAAATCCGGAGGCTGACATTCAGCAGCAGCCCCTGCATGGCATAGAACAGTGGCACTGTTCAACTGACATGATTCCGGAGTATTTGATGCGGTATGATGTGGTTGTATTACATTGGAATAATATGAATCATATATTGGATACATCTAACTAGTACTAGTTTGGATGGGTTTTAGACAAACACGGGGAAGTTCAAAAACGAAAATGGATTTCAACCAAGAAGAATGAGAAGGAACGCAACCAGTATTTTTGTTTGTAAACCCAATAACAGACCTACAATTGGAGGATGGTTCATACAACCCATTGAAAAGGGGGTTTATGTTGTGGTTTACCACATCATATAAATCAACTTCAAACAAGGATCCTTCGTCGAAGCAACATCTATGATTGGAAGCAGTCAAGGAAACATGGGAACAATAGCCAGCCAAAATGTCCAGCAAGAATTGAAAAACATAATACAAGTAACAACAATGTCAATTTTTAAGCAATTGGAAAAACCGTTCAAGAATCTCAACTCTTTTAAAGGGTGTTTGAACAGGGTATGTATTAACCACCAATCATCGGGTCATTTTTCCCTCATACCCTCTGGTACTTTAAGATGACAATGATTTTTCATCGACTTTGCCCAGGTGGAGTGACTAAACTAGTGCGATTCATCCCTGTCATTGAAAATTCCTATCAAAAACATTCAAAAAACACCATCCGCACCGATCTCTCTTTCCGATGGGAGTTTTTCGTCACATCCTGGGCTTTCGGACAATTGAGTTCTGGGGAGCTGTTCATCATCTTCAGATCCTTCCCTTGCGGCTGCCTCAACGACTCAGATGTTCGAAAAACGACCCCAACAAGGGATGATCTGTGCTGCACGTAATCTTGCGGACTGTTGCGAGAAAGCCTTGTAGATGTTTTTTTGGGGGATATCAAATCCCATGAAATCCCATGAAATGATATTAAACCCATTTAACCCAGGGATTTGTTTGGGGATATCAAATGATATGAAAATCAAGTGCCATCTCTGCATATCGAAACCCTGCTGGAGTTCGGGGCCACCGAACATAGCTGAAGGACCCTTGATGGGAAGATCTGAACATCTGAAATCATCTGGGTTTGTCTGAAAATAGGGTATATTCCCAATTATAGCCATTTAATAGGGATAATGATCATTAACCATTGGGTTTAGGGGTACACTATTTTCAGACACACCCATCTGAGTTTCTGATTGTCATATCTTTCTCCCCAATAGCCCTCCGGCGCTCCGGCCTTCCCACACTTCACAGACGGCATGGTGATCGAATGGACGGCGTGGACGGGGATGCATTGTCATTAAGGTAAACCCTAGCCATAAACCTACCATGATTGGGGATGGCCATAAAATCCACATGGTGATGGGGGGATGAATCCCACATGGTGAATGTTATCATCACGGATTGGATTTTCGCAGATTCAAACTAACCCTAACGACTTCCATTGTCATCACCCAGCAATCAAACATTGCAAGTGTAATTATTAGCATTTATTAGCCATCGAGTATTACAAATCCTTAACCATCGTCAGTGAACCCCAATTCATTCACCACGATAACGACCGTAGATTCCTATCACATCCCGATTTGAAACACGATTCACTCGCCCAGTGACCCCTGTTGATTCACTGCAAAGGTGAACTCCACCTCATGCCTGGCGACCGATTCAACGGCGGAAAACCATCCGAAAAATTCGCCTCATTTTTGGCATGATGTTTTGATGATGTTTCGATGATTGTGTTGTCGATATGTTTCATACACATCCCAGTCAATTTTTGTCGGAATAGTGAGTTTCAAGTGACCCTTAGTCATGTTTTTTAATGAACCTACTGGACTATTTTTCCTGGGAGCATCACTAGATCCATTTTAACCAAAAACGCTGTAAAATTTTGGGGCTCATGAGGTGACCCATGATTTTCTCGGCCATCGATGTGTTTGCCAAAAAATATAAAAAAAAAACCAGGGCCTGGCTCAAGATGCTAAAAATGTCATGAAATGTCCCCCAGAATCTGCCATTAAAATTGGTTTATGAATACTGTATATTTACACTGTATATATATAATATAATATATATATATAATTATATATATATATGACTCTTCTCATATCTATCAACAACCATCATGTTTATAAGACTCGCATGACAGTTTCATCCATGGTCAACCTTCCCAAGCCAAAGTCACCCGGTGGTCAAGGGCCGTTGATCTGGAACCTGGCTTGTTGATGTTCCCAGCGCCAGAACAATGGTGGGAAATTGGGAGGTGACACCTTGAACATGGTGGCTGAAATATGGACTCACCATAGAAATTCATGATGCCTTTATCACTTGAAAATGGATGTTATCAAAATTTATCACTTTAATTTTTTCAATGAATTTGGATTCGCCATAGAAATTTTAAATTTTCTGGTCGTTAGTCGTAGCATTTATCGAAAACGGGGATTGATGGGTCCCATGATGGGACTCATGGGATCCAAATGGAGCTATCGTTCGCTGGGAATCCATCTATTTCGATCGATTTGGGCCATGGCTTAAAACCATGGCGAACTGTAACAAATATATAACCAACAACATGATATTGACAGAGATATTGGCTTTAACAAATATATGTAACAAATATATAACCAATATATGTAACAAATATATAACCAGAGGGTAACAACCAACAACATGATATTGGCTTTGTCCAAACGATTATCCTTGAGATTTTCTTTGGGGACCATACTTTCACCGTGAAATCCATAGGTTAACCGCACAAGAATTTTTTCAGCTCCCCCGTTAGCACGGGTCAAGTCATTTGGGATACCGATCCACAACGCTGGTCGTTCTGGGGTTTCCCCCCCTATTTTTGGTGGATAATTTTGACCTATCGTTGTCTGAACTTAATGGGTACCCACATGTACCCAGTGGTTTTTGTTCGTCATCCCAAAATGAAAATAGCGAGGTTCAGACAAGCCTTCACTCAATGAAATGTCATCAAGCCTTCAATACAAATATACTATTGATTAAACCATGTCACCATGGTGTTCCATATTCACCATGCATACTTTTCCTCGGCGATATCGCAAGCTTTTTAGCCCGGTAGTCATCCCAGATGAGCGAGTGTTCAAAACGATGGTGAAATGGTAATCAGTGATAAGATCCCCTATAAATGGAAGTATAATATAATATACATATATAATATATATATAATATATATAATTAATATAATATATATATATAATTAATATAATATATATATATAATATATATATAATATATATATACTGTGTGTGTGTGTCTCTGTCTCTACATCACTGTAGTTGCAGCCAGGGGTGCCACCGATTTCCGATTCATTTGCAGTCACTAGAGTTCATTCCTCAAGTGTTTTTGTTTCCAACAATTCCTCTTATGTCATAGCCATGGTTGGCAGGGTTGGCATGCTATTGAGCGTTTGGTGTGCTGGGCCCACTGTTGTCATGTTTCAAAATGCAGCTCTGCTCTGGCTGTATGAATCAGAATGGTTCAAAGCAGCAGGGTGGTAGAAGACGGCGTACCTATTGTTCTCAAAGCAGGTTCAAAAATAGATGCAACAGAAGACAAGCCATGTAAACTCATGCTACAATACATATCATATAGGTATAGCAAAACCTTCAGCCAGACAGTTTCAGTAGATCCTTTACTCATGTCAGTAGCCGCCGAAGCCGTGGCCTGCTTGGCAGAGAAGAAGGTGACAGAACTCCGAGCAGCCCTTCTGCTGAACCAAAAGCACATACGAAATTGCCAGCAGCAATCTCGCAGAGAAGCTGCTTCGCTGCTCAAAGGCGGCCTTTCTTGCCACTCTGAGCGAAAAGTTTTGGCCGTCTATGCTTTGTCAAACTGGGATTTGAGTTTGGCTCTGCGAGCGGCACAGCGGCTGTCCCGATTGCCCCAATGTTCTGCAGCATTTCCAACATCAGATTTTGTCAGGGCTCTCTTTCGTAACCACAATTGGGAGGACTTTTTGATGTTACATGATGAAGGCTCAGCACTTTGGGGACCTGCCCGAAAGTTTGCACGGCAGTTCCTCCTGGAACACGATGCTTGGTGTTGGGTGAAGCGTCAAAACCTTTCTCAAGGCGTGGCACCATCAGCGGCAGATGTGTTTCATTACTATGAGAACAAGGCGCTTCAGGTGGAACCTTGTGGACAGCCTCGCCGCAGGACTGTTAACAAATGGGCTGCTCGTTGGCGGGCTCGGTGGGGTGTTCGCAGGGCATGCCTGCGGTCAGCTGACACAGTGGATCCCAGCATTTTGCGGGACAAGGCAAGAATGGGCAAAAAAGCCGGGTCGCTTTTTTGGAACCCTTTTTTGGTTGAAAATGAAAGCATCCCTGGTTTCTGGGGCCGCTTTTTGGGACACAAATGGGTCGCTTTTCTAGGGCCCCAAAACATTGTACTTGAGCCATTTTTTAAAGTCTTGTTTGCCACTTTTTTGAGACCCGAATCTTCGTTTTGCCAGGTGAAGTCGTTCTGGAGATCCATTGCCTATGTGACCGAGAAATTTGGCCACCAGGAACTGGTTTGGATCAACTTCGATGAAACTTCTGTTCCTTGCTGTCCACAATGTCCGAAAGGTTGCGTGGTGAATGACTGGAAGTCTTACCCCGTGCCAGGGGGTCCACAAATGCCGGTCCCCAAAAGTCGGCGGAGGATCGCCTACACATACGGGGCCTTGCTTTGCAGTCATCCGGGCATTCAAGCGGTGCTGCCGCACTTCCTGGTTTGCAGCGAGAAGAGGCTTCCCCAGACTGTCGCCAAAGGTTTTGCAGCGCTGCCACCGACGAGGTTGCGGCTTCTTCGCAGAAAATCTTCTTGGGTGACAACAGATTGCATGATCCGAATTTTGGCAGATGTGAGAGAGGCGCTCCAGCCTTGGCTTCCAATGGTTAAACCAATACTCGTTTTGGACACAGCATCTCCTCATCTACCTAAAAGGTTGATGTCTTTTGCCAAAAGGAAAGGTTTTCAGCTTCTTTTTGTGCCAGCTTCCAGCACTGGCCTGCTACAGCCGCTAGACACCAGTGCTTTCAGTGCATTCAAGCATTGGATAAAAAGAAAAAACCAGCAGCTGCGGCGCACCGCCCAAGGCGGTGAACCGCAGCAGCTTGAGTTTCTGTGGCAACTGGGTCAAGCTCCTCGAGAATTTTTCGCCAGCAGACAATGGGCCCACGCTTTCGAAAGCGTTGGGTGCGGGCGAGATGTGACAAAGTTGCATTCCGCCTTGCGAAATTTCATGCAGAATCCAGTGTCCTTACCGCTTCCTGCCAAACCCACTCCGGCAGAGATGGCTCTCATTTGGCCTAAAAGGCGAAAGATGAGCTATGCGGATGCATGTTTGTTCTGATAACACCAAAGGTGTTGAAGTCCAGATCTGCTGTTGCAAAAAGGCAGATGCAACCGGAGAGCAGCAAGTGTGACACTATATATTATCTGGGTAAATGATCATATTTCACTAATCTGAATCTTGCAGCCATTTGGGGATGATTCCCCTTACCAACCATGATTCCAGGCTTCGGTCGCGACGAGTTTGGTCGTTCGAATTTACCCAGATATTATGTATAAGTATAATACTAATCAGTATACCATGTGGTTATTTAACATAGCCATGGAAAATGACCCATTTATAGATGGTTTGCCTATTAAAAATGGTGATTTTCCATGGCTATGTTAGTCATAACCAGATGGTAATACCCCTACGGTTTACGAATGATGTGGGATTCACCGCCATTTGCACCACCCCACGGTAGGATCCAATGGGCGTTTTCAATCTTCGGGTAGCAGACAAAAAGAACGCTGGTTTCAGCAACACGGGCTACTCTCGCTAGAAGAGCTTACCCTCTGGTAAACTAACATAGCTATTGAAAATCACCATTTTAATAGGTAAAACTTCTATAAATGTACCATTTTCCATAGCTATGTTAAATTACCAGAGGGTACATTTGCGGACATATAGATGATATCATATTGGCGTATGGCTTGAAAATAGGGGAGGCATGGTGTATTGTTTGGAGCCGCAACCACATATGGCCATATTCCCTAGTTACCATCATCCATGTCTATCATCATCCATGTCTATTGGTTGGAGAAAAAGGCATGTATTGCTCAACCCTCCCAAGATTCTTTCATGGTGTTTTCCCCGGAATATTAGGTACCTCCAAATTCCAACATGTTCTAGGGAAATATTGCGATTGTATCTCCTTTTGGTAAAAATAGGTTTGGGTCTGTTTGGCATGCCATTTATCATCATTTACCCATTGTTCAATGGGGTGACCCGAAACTTTTGCATCAAGCAATTTGGAATTTGGGTCTTCAATGGGCCCCGTTTAGTCCGCCGCCCTCCTGCCTGTGCAAGGCTCACGTAAATGTCGCGGCCTGAGAACCTCTGGGAAAATGGGTGGTCAAACGTGACAAGTTTCCGTTGAAACCCTGGTTTTGGATCACGAATAATGCTAGTGAAGCAAACATAAATCTGCCATTTGGGGATTGTAGCACTCTTTGATGGTAAAATTGGGGATGGTGGTTGCACTATTGCATAAAACTCACATTAACGGGGTTGACCTTGGGGTTTCCCGGCAATTCCTCCTGTCCAAGTCTGGACACATGTCATGATGGCTGCCATTGTTGAAGGATATTTCAGGGACAAAGAAACTAAGTTTCTTGAATAAATATCCTAAATCAATCCACTGAGGTGTAGATAAAGCAGCGCTTTATAGCGACCTCCTTGGTGGCTTGGACGACGTATGTTGAGGAAATATCCAGTCCAAAAAGCTTGAATCAACCAACCATCATGTTTTTCCTAGCATCAACATCATTTCATACCTTACATCCCATCATTGATCAAATTATATCACATTCTTGTCCATCATGTTCCATCATGTTCCATCATTTCCCGGATTTCTTCATCATTATTCACATGTTTCCCTACATGTTTCCCTACATGTCCCAATGGTGTTTCCCACGTTGAAAACCAACGTCCTGGGTCCCACGGACGGTGTGCCCTTCAGCTCGGGGCAGGTGAGGAAGCCGAAGCCCCGCGCCACGTTGAAACTCTTCACCGTGCCTTTGAAGACCTACCGAATTTGTTTCAAGCCGTGGATCAATCCGTAGATGTCATGGGACTGTCATGGGTGATGTGGTGGGGAAATGGAAGAATTGTAACTTTCATGGGATTTCCTTGTAGAAAAATGATGAAAAATGTGTATCCGGTTCATCAACAGCCTTGCCCAGGAGGTCGGCGGCACGCGGGCCTGGTGACGCTATGGGGATGTTTGAAGGCTTTGAAGGGAGATCATGGGGTATAGAAGCAATAGCGTGTTTAAGAGTGTGTTGAATACTGTTGAATAGTTAGTGTTGAAAAGCGTTTATTATTGTAGTGCTTAACAGTGTCTAAGGGCGTTTTATGGGATTTGCTCGTCGAGCGGGTTTATTAAGGGCGTCTTAACCATCAACAACGACCTTATCAATGTGCGGAGATTCTGGGATGGAGAACAAATAAGGACGAGCAACTGGAGAACAAATCACCATGTAGGTTTTGTATGGTTTTGTGAGATGGGGATTTCTAGATCTATATTCAACATATGTTAACATAATATTTACTATTGATATATATTGATGGGGGAGATAAACCAAAAAAAAAAATGATACTTGGAGGGGCAGGCCATGGTTTCTAAGTTCGCCATTGATTTCACCGATGGCCCAGCGCCGAGACGCTGCATAAAACCCTGGTCGAAAACATATGGGTCAACATCCCATAAACATAAGTGGGTAAACATGGGTGAGCTAATCATGGTCACATATCAATTGGGGTGCACATCTACCTACATTAAGACATTAATCATTAACCCCTATCTTGGATGTGCATCCAAGGAAAAGCAGCTCGCAAACCATGGGTGGCTCAAGACAGTTCAAGCGGTACGTGAAACACACCCCAGCTATATGTGTGGGCTGTCGACGTACCAGCCGGGATGCATGAGTACATGACGATAGGCTATCAATTCTGTACAACGACCCGTCTTTCATTTTAGGATCATGGGTGTTTCTTGATGACCACATAACTACATAAATTGGAAACACGGAAAACGGACCTACAACTGGAAAAATGGGCAATGAATGTGAGGTCCTATAAAAGCCCCTGCGCAACCTGTTATTGAATGTTATTGACGGACAACATCAACATGACCGTTCTGAGCTGCAATGTACAATGGTGTTTCACCGCTATTCTGTGGGTGATCTTTGTCAGCGCCAACTTCCACCAAATGACGGACAACATCAAGATGGTCCTTGCAAGCTGCAATGAACAATGGTGTTGCACCCTGATTCTGTGCTTGATCTTTGTCAGCACCAACTTCCACCAAATGACGGACAACATCAACATGGCCGTTCTGAGCTGCAATGAACAATGGTGTTGCACCCTGATTCTGTGCTTGATCTTTGACAGCACCAACTTCCACCAAATGACGGACAACATCAAGGTGGCCGCTATAAGCTGCAACGTACAATGGTGTTGCACCGCTATTCTCTGCTCGATCTTTGTCAGCACCAACTTCCGCCAAGTGACGGACAACATTAAGATGGCCGTTCTGAGCTGCAATGTACAATGGTGTTGCACCCTGATTCTGTGCTTGATCTTTGTCAGCACCAACTTCCACCAAATGACGGACAACATCAACATGGCCGTTCTCAGCTGCAATGTACAATGGTGTTTCACCGCTATTCTCTGCTTGATCTTTGTCAGCACCAACTTCCACCAAATGACGGACAACATCAACATGGCCGTTCTCAGCTGCAGTGTACAATGGTGTTGCACCCCTATTCTCTGCTTGATCTTTGTCAGCACCAACTTCCGTCAAATGACGGACAACATTAAGATGGCCGTTCTGAGCTGCAATGTACAATGGTGTTGCACCCTGATTCTCCGCTTGATCTTTGTCAGCACCAACTTCCACCAAATGACGAACAACATCAAGATGGCCGTTCTGAGCTGCAGTGAACAATGGTGTTACACCGCTATTTGTGGCTTGATCTTTGTCAGCACCAACTTCCACCAAATAACGGACAACACCTAGATGGCCGCTCTGAGCTGCAACGAGCAATGATGTTACACCCCTATTCTCTGCTTGATCTTTGTCAGCACCAACTTCCACCAAATGACGGACAACATCAAGATGGCCCTTGCTAGCTGCAATGTGCAATGGTGTTGCACCCTGATCCTGTGCTTGATCTTTGTCAGCGCCAACTTCCACCAAATGACGGACAACATCAAGATGGCCGTTCTGAGCTGCAGTGAACAAAGGTGTTACACCCCTATTCTGTGCTTGATCTTTGTCAGCACCAACTTCCACCAAATGACGAACAACATCAAGATGGCCGTTCTGAGCTGCAATGAACAATGGTGTTGCACCCTGATTCTTTGCTTGATCCTTGTCAGCACCAACTTCCACCAAATGACGGACAACATCAAGATGGCCGCTCTGAGCTGCAATGAACAATGGTGTTGCACCCTGATTCTCTGCTTGATCTTTGTCAGCACCAACTTCCACCAAATGACGAACAACATCAAGATGGCCGTTCTGAGCTGCAGTGAACAATGGTGTTACACCGCTATTTGTGGCTTGATCTTTGTCAGCACCAACTTCCACCAAATAACGGACAACACCTAGATGGCCGCTCTGAGCTGCAACGAGCAATGATGTTACACCCCTATTCTCTGCTTGATCTTTGTCAGCACCAACTTCCACCAAATAACGGACAACATCAAGATGGCCCTTGCTAGCTGCAATGTGCAATGGTGTTGCACCCTGATCCTGTGCTTGATCTTTGTCAGCGCCAACTTCCACCAAATGACGGACAACATCAAGATGGCCCCTGCTAGCTGCAGTGAACAAAGGTGTTACACCGCTATTCTGTGCTTGATCTTTGTCAGCACCAACTTCCACCAAATGACGAACAACATCAAGATGGCCGTTCTGAGCTGCAGTGAACAATGGTGTTACACCGCTATTTGTGGCTTGATTTTTGTCAACACCAACTTTCACCAAATGACGGACAACATCAAGATGGCCGTTCTGAGCTGCAACGAACAATGGTGTTACACCCCTATTCTCTGCTTGATCTTTGTCAGCACCAACTTCCACCAAATGACGGACAACATCAAGATGGCCGTTCTGAGCTGCACTGTACAGTGGTGTTGCACCGCTATTTTTGGCTTGATTTTTGTCAGCACCAACTTCCACCAAATGACGGACAGCATCAAAGTGGCCACGCATAGCTGCCAAATGCAATGGCGTCATACTTTGATTTTCTGCTGGGTTTTTTTCAGCACCTGCCTCAAGCAAAAGCAGCATGCTTTCAACATGTCCTCCCCTGGCAGCATTGTGCAATGGCGTGTTGCCATGTTCGTCTGTGACATTCGGATTGGAAGGGCTATTAAGAAACTTTTCCAGGGCGATCAAATCATTGTCCATAGATGCAGAGATGACTTGTTGGTTTCGTTGGGCATCATCTGGATAAAATTCCAATATCACCATCTGAAGCTTCACTGGAGCGGAGGTAAAAACCTCATCATCCGGGATCTCAGAACCATCTTCGTCGAAGAGTCGTTGTTTGAATCTGGTGACACCGATCTGAACTGCCAAGGCTTGTTTCACAGCCTTTGCAGTCTTTCCTTCGAATTCATCCGGGGCAAGGGCTGCCAGAGCCGCACCTGACAGAAAACACACCTCCATTGCGGCATTGGCTGAAATGCAAACAACCTCCTATAGTTAGATATTTCAAGATAAGTCAAGCAAGTTCTGATGAAACAATGTGCAAACTACTCCAACAGTTCACATATGTTTACCGAATTTCTTGCTATCAACGAACGCACCGTCGACAAGAAACGTCAATGGCATGGGCATGGTGTTTTCCCTGCAACCAACATCAAATTTAATTGACATGACGATTTTCTACCCAAATAATTTGCTCACATGTTCCATGGTCAGGTAACATGGGATTCCAATCATAATGGGCGCAGCAGCTGTGAAAAGTGGGTGGATGACCACCCGAATATATAAATCCCTATGAACAAGATTGATGACCCCCAAAAACTGCCATTCTAGCCATGTGTTTTAATCGTCAGAATCTAGACATTACAAATCTCCCCTGAAATATCATCATTTTACCCTTTCACCAGATTGCAGATAACGAAAAAAACTCATTAGATGATGGCTAAATCCCTAATTCCATATTCTATCCTACCAAACAGTAAATCCCATGAAACATGATTAAACACTATTACAAACAATTACACATACTCTTAAACACTATTAGACTCTATTCAACACTCCTAAACATGTTTAAACCTTAGGATACTGGTTCTGCATCCCATGATATCAGCATTTTACCCATTCACCAGACTGCAAATAACGAAAAAAACTCATTAGTTAATGGCTAAATCCCTAATTCCATATTCTATCCTATCAAACAGTAAATCCCATGAAACATGATTAAACACTATTACAAACAATTACACATACTCTTAAACACTATTAGTCTCTATTCAACACTCCTAAACATGTTTAAACCTTAGGATACTGGTTCTGCATCCCATGATATCAGCATTTTACCCATTCACCAGATTGCAGATAACGAAAAAAAACTCATTAGTTGATGGCTAAATCCCTAATTCCATATTCTATCCTATCAAACAGTAAATCCCATGAAACATGATTAAACACTATTACAAACAATTACACATACTCTTAAACACTATTAGACTCTATTCAACACTCCTAAACATGTTTAAACCTTAGGATACTGGTTCTGCATCCCATGATATCAGCATTTTACCCATTCACCAGATTGCAGATAACGAAAAAAACTCATTAGTTGATGGCTAAATCCCTAATTCCATATTCTATCCTATCAAACAGTAAATCCCATGAAACATGATTAGACACCATTACAAACAATTCAACATCCCTTAAACACTATTAGACTCTATTCAACACTCCTAAACATGTTTAAACCTTAGGATACTGGTTCTGCATCCCATGATATCAGCATTTTACCCATTCACCAGATTGCAGATAACGAAAAAAACTCATTAGTTGATGGCTAAATCCCTAATTCCATATTCTATCCTATCAAACAGTAAATCCCATGAAACATGATTAGACACCATTACAAACAAATCAACATCCCTTAAACACTATTAGACTCTATTCAACACTCCTAAACATGTTTAAACCTTAGGATACTGGTTCTGCATCCCATGATATCAGCATTTTACCCATTCACCAGATCGCAGATAACGAAAAATAAACTCATTAGGTGATGGCTAAATCCCATGAGATCAGCGTCATGCCTGAAGCGTTGCTCGTTCCCGGCTCCGCCGCTTCCGCCAGGTCCGATTTCTCTGCCTCACCGCAGCGTTGCGGTGCCGGAAAATTGAGGCTGAAGGCATGGTGAAAGCCATGGTTCTTATGGGAGAATATGCTGTAAACTAAGTAAACCCTGTGTTTTTTTTTCATTTGAAACATGTTGAAAACAATCTGAAAGTATGGTTTTGCCCAGGAAATATGGAATAATATGGGTAGATACCCTTTTTCAATGTGCCCCTTCCAAGTATGGAAATGGTGGATCTATACACCCCAAAATTGATACGTGTGCGCAAGCTCCATGAAGATTAGTTTCCTTCTTCCGCATGAAATCGAATTTTGAATTATAACCCATTTTCAAAGACACCCAAAGATCAGTTTGATGTTCTATCCCATATCAAGCACACTATACGGTATCACGTATATAAACATATGTACATATATACATATATACATATAAACATATATACATATATACAAATATGCATAAATATATATATATACATATATATACATATATACATATATACATATATACCTATATACCTATTTACATATATACAAATACATATATACATATATACATGTGTACATATATACATATATACAGATATACATATATTCCTATATACATATATATACATATATACATATACATATATATATACATATATACATATATACATATATACATATATACATATATACATATATACATATATACATATATACATATATACATATATACATATATACATATATACATATATACATATATACATATATACATATATACATATATACATATATACATATATACATATATACATATATATGTACATATATATATATATGTACATATATACATATATACATATATACATATATATACATATATACATGTATACATATATACATATATACACAAATACATATATACATATATACACATATATATATATACAGATATATATATATATACATATATACATATATACATATATACATATATACATATATACATATATACATATATTCATATTTACTGATGTACATATATAGATATATACACAAATATATATTTACATTTTTACATACATACATACATACATCCATCCATCCATCCATCCATACATACATACATACATACAGTACATATATACATATATACATATATACACATATACATATATACATAGATACATACACATATATATATATACATATATACATATATACATATATACATATATACATATATACATATACACATATACATATATACATATTTACATTTATACATTTATATATATATGCATATATACATATATACATATTTACATATATACACATATACATATATACATATATACATATACACATATACATATATACATATATACATATATACACAAATACATATATACATATATACATATATACATATATTCATATTTACTGATGTACATATATAGATATATACACAAATATATATTTACATTTTTACATATATACATATATACATATATACATATATACATATATACATATATACATATATACGTATATACATATATACATATATACATATATACATATATACATATATACATATACACATATATACATATATATACTGATGTACATATATACATATATGGAATATACATATATACATAAATATAGATATATATATGTACATATATACATATATACATATATGCATATATACATATATACATATATACATATATACATGTATACATATACATATATATATACATACATACATATATACATATATACATATATACACATATACATATATACATATATATACATACATATCTATATATATACATATACATATACATATATACATATATACATATTTACTCATGTACATATATACATATATACATATATACATATATACATATATACATATATACATATATACATATATACATATAAATACATATAAATACATATAAATACATATATACATATATACATATATACATATATACATATATACATATATACATATATACTAATGTACATATATACATATATACATATATACACACATATATATACATATATATACATATATTTATATACATATATATATATACATATAAACATAATTTCATACTTACATATATACATACATATATACATACACATATATACATATATACATACATATATACATATATACACATATGTACATATATACATATATACATATATACATATATACATATATACATATATACATATACATATATACATATATACATATATACATATATACATATATACATATACATATATATACATATATATATACTGATGTACATATATACATATATGGAATATACATATATACATAAATATAGATATATATATATGTACATATATACATATATACATATATACATATATACTAATGTACATATATACATATATACACACATATATATACATATATATATATATACATATATTTATATACATATATATATACATATAAACATAATTTCATACTTACATATATACATACATATATACATACACATATATACATATATACATACATATATACATATATACACATATGTACATATATACATATATACATATATACATATATACATATATACATATACATATATACATATATACATATATACATATATACATATATACATATATACATATATACATATACATATATATATATACATATATATATACATATACATATATACACATATATACATATATACATATATACACATATATACAGTTATACATATATATATATACATATATATATACCAATTACGAATTCATGGTGAATCCCCCCCATTGTGTCCTTCATAATTTTCACTAATTACGGCATTTGGAGGTGTTATTTCTATGTGATCATGGAATTCAAACGTGGGATGCCACCTGACAGCTTCAAAAAAAAAATCTGGAGTGCCAGGATCAATTCAAGATGTAAATCCGATTTTTTGGTCCAAAAATACATTTCTTAAGTTGCGTGCATCCTCATCTCTGCAAGAACACGCCCATCCTACTAGCCAATCAATTTTTGTTGTTTCGTACATTGATATTTGAACTGATTAAAAGAAATTGCATGCCAAACATCAACCGCCAATCAAATTCCATTCACAATTTGGGCCCAGAATAGCAATGATTTCATGGTGGAAATTAATCCCAGCCTCCTAACATTCAACATCCCCGTAAATCGTTGCAAATAAGTTCAAAGCCCTAACCAAAAAAATATTGTTTCTGGGGGGCGTTTAATTTGGGGGTGGGATTATTTTCTGAAGCCGGTTTTCCAACATTTTCACACCCCAATCCCACCAAAGCAGATGTGTCAGGCTTGCCTCCAGTCTCGCTTCTCTCGCCTGGTGCCAACGATCAGCTGGTAGGATGAAACCAAACATCTTATGGTTGGATGTTTCACCTATACTGCATGTATGGAGGATATAAATATGTATATATATATATTTATATATACAGATATAGATCTAGATATAGATATAACAACGGCCAACAGTATTTTTTCAATGCTGTGTTGATTAATGTTGATTAGGTAGGTGTGTCCGAAAATGGGTAATTTACATCCTTTTTGGCAATTTTGGTATAGGGAAAACGATGATTCAATAGGTGTTTGGCAAGTATAGACTGGGTCTTGGCCCACGCAAAAATTGGTTTTGACACGTTTTGACCAACAGATGGCCAGCTTAAAAGGGTTGGCACCAACGAAAGGTACAGTATATGCTTTACACACAAACAACCGCGGATTCATATTATACAACACCAATCACGACTAAGTCCTGCAAACAATGGAGGTTGGAGGAACGAAAATGGCGTTGTGCGACCAACAAGCAACAAAGATTAGCCTCCAGTAATCAAACATGGCTAGCTGGAAAATCCTCTGTAAATGGAGGTTTTAATGGAAAAATCATGAAATCTGTTTCAACTCAAATCCCCTTAAATAGGTGTCATGTTTGGGGTTTCTTGATAGTGTGTCTCAAAAAAATAGCTGCTGAACTATCTGCAACTCACAAAAACATCGAAAAAAAGAAGTGAGTTGAAGATAGTTGGTATAAACATGTACAAACCAAAACCTGTTTTGTTTCAACGATGTTTCAGCTAAAAAAAAAACACTGCGTTTCTGCCGCGCCTGCGGCTTGCCACTCTTGTTAAGCTCCACGGTGAAGCTCACTGGCAAAAGAGTCGCAAATGGGTCACAGGTGGAAAAATGATGATAGACATGGTATATACCGGAATTTATACAGGAATTTAATAGGATATGATGTCATGTATAGTAAAAAATAACAATAAATGATAAATATATAATAACAATAATAAATATCAGTAATAAACAATAATAATAATAATAGTAAATAACAAAAAGAAATGACTATAACAATAGTAATAGTATGTGTATATATATATATATTGGAAATTGTTGGGTGTACTGATATGGGTGCCAATCTCTGGGGTGCAGTTGGGGTGGAAGTGGGTATCCCATGGGTCTTTTTTATTATGGTGAAATGTATCCGCTTAGTTCACTGGAACTGCACTTCCAAGTATTTGGATGAGAAAAACGGATCACAATGACCATCGATTAATCAATGAAGAAATCATGATCATTTATACATGTACATGTGGTTCTGTTTTTTTTCTAGTAATTCTTAAACAATGACATCAATACTGGTGAGATTTTTCGAATGATCATGGAATCAAAAGTGATACTTAACGCCATGACAATCACCGTTGTTTTAAGCATCCAAAACGCCATTGAAAAATCCTAAGACGGACACGGTGCGGTGCCTTGGTTTGTTTCACAAGGAGAAAACCCCAGTATGGTCCAATAGGTACCCTCTGGTGTAATCGTTTCCATGGCTTGCAATATTAATATATCATGATAATCATGTAAAAGTTATAGGTTCCAATAACCATATAGTGATATATAGTTATAACTAGGGAAAATCATATAATATCATATAATCATTTATTGC